CTGATTATATATCAAACGTAAAAGTATTTAATATGCCTTTAAACAATATTTAACTTGTTTCAAACTGGATATAAATGCATAATCATGGTACATGAGTGACTGTCTGATGATCAAAACACCCAAAACTCACCGAGATGAAATGGAAGTTCTGTACCGCAAAAACAGAAAAATTATAAGTAAATATGTGTGTCAATTGGATTAATGTAAACAAATCATAAATAGCAATAGATACAATTTATATTTTTTTTCACATACATACAAAAGCAGGACATTCACATACATTCATCCTTCTTCGTAACATTTGAGTAAAATTTTTTTTACAGTAATTATTTACAACAGCAATTTTTTTTTATAAATATATAGCTTGCATTAGTTACCTCGTTGTCGTAAATTATTTTCAGCCTGGATGAAGTTGTCATACAATATGAAGTATACATGACTGAAGTTGCCTTCAAAGTAGTTTTTTGCTTCATCGGTGTCAAAATGTTCTGAAATAAAAGGTATAATAAGAAAATTATAAAAATGAGTATTTATTTATAATTAAATAAGTATGTTTTTATAGAAGAAGGAAAAGGAGAATTTTATTACTTTAATCTTATTTAAAAGAGCTGACTTATAATTATCTTTTTTACACAACCCTTGAATGCACACTTTTAAATTGACACTATAGTCTACTTATATATCTATAGTCATATAGAAAGAAAGAAATCCCAAAAATCTTGTATGGTCAGTGTGACTACAGGAAATTACTGTTCATGACTGACGTTACAGACTTTTTTCTAAAAGAGTTTTCTTGTTCTTCTCCATTTGAATCTACACTTTGGAATGAGTACCTAGCTTCAACAATGATCTAACTGACTGACTATAAAAATATTCTATTTTGACACTTCAAAAGTAGATGTTTATGGTTTAGTAGAAATAAATGAATTTGACTTTGACTGATTGGGGTAATTTGTCTCATGTAATTTTTGTTAAGATTACAGGTCAGGAAAGTTTTTAACTAGACTAAAGTTTAGAAGTATAGGAGAAAATTCTGATAATAGCAACCTTTTTAACAAAACTAATGACTGTGACTTGGATACCTGGTTGGTTGGGCCAGAGTAACTGGTCATATTGATATTAAAACAAGTACAATTCAGCCATATGAATTTATATTCTTACAGGATTCTTCTTCATTTAAATGTGACTATTTATTTTATTTTCAAATATTTTATAGAAGTTTTAGTTTAAGCAATCTATCAGTTATAACCAAAATTTAACAGGTAAAAAGTAATAATTAGGGTCATTGTCTGTGGACATGAGTACCATTGTCAAATAATCTGTCCATCTCTTGACTTTAACATTGTAAGCATACACTATACAAAGTTCAATGACTTTCAACTTTATACTAAATTTTGGCAATGTTATTAAAGGTTCCTATTTTGAATACAGAATTGATAAATTTATGTCCATTGCATTATGGCAGCTTTCTCCCAGACAATTAATATTCTTTTCGTTTAATATGTTCTTAATATTTAAATCCACAACACAAGAAAGACATTAACCTAGAAATGAGGAATGATCTCTCACATACAATATATAATACACATCAACATTTGATTTAAACAATGGAAAATGACATACAACTGAGTCTAAGCTATGTAATTAATTTAGTAGAAATGACTATTTATACAAATGAAACTCTAAATAGTACATCTTCGATACAATAAACAGTTGTAAGTTGAGGCGCATCAACTACAGTTATTCGCGACTAATTAGCATGTTCGGAATGTGATCGCTGTTGAACGTTTAAAACCTCACAACTCATCTCTAAATATTCTCAAAATCTTCTTATCACTTAGAGAAGAACAATAAAACAAATACATTCTCACCTAAAACGATTTTTAAGTGTTTTAATCGGGTTGCTGAATCCTTTTTCGAGTCTTGTATTTTAACCGTTGATTTCTTAACATCCTGGTGAGATTTCTTGGTAAACATTTCGAATGTTATATTATAGCGTCATTACGTAGATTCTTTTCATCCTTAGAATAAAAAATACAGTAATTTCACATTGTTTTCTTTAAGTTTTCACTCCCATTTTGACATTTCACTTACATAAAAATCTCGGTTGACGTAAACACTAAAGGTGAGTTCGTTTCACGGTAGAACTGCAAAGTACCGTTGCTTTTCTGATTTTTTTTAAAACTTTAGATGTGTGTAAAACCATTTTTAATGTGATTCTGTGTACCTTAAATATAGTAATGTATTTGAATCGTTTACATTTGATGTGTTTGAACAGCTGCTGTATTATTATTTTATGAGTTTAGGACCCAGCATGCAATAAACTAGGATATCATTAATGCGTTTATTAAATGAAATGGAACGTGTATTTTTTTTCTAAAATAAGGCACCGGTGTTTAAGCATACTGCCAAGTTAGGATTTTTTTCTTAAATTAATCGAATAAAATATTTTTAACGATTGTATCGAAACATATAAAGCCGTTCTTACAAGTACTATAGTCACAGGCGTTAAAACTTATACAAACTATTTGAAAATGTTTGACTTTCGCGCAAATATGCGTTTGATTATGTTCATTTTTAATTGTATTGTCTGCGAGAACAATGAAAAAGTCAAATGTATGAAATCCTTTCGATTAAGGAAGGTATTATACTTATCTCAAATTGTATTATATTACAGGCAGAAACGTATGAGAATTTACTAAACTACTTACCAGTATATGTTTCAGCAGGCAATTATTTAGTATCAGCCAGAGGTGTAGACAACTAAATACAACGCTATTAACAACAAATAAGCAGAGCAAATAGTCAAAGTCTAAGAAATTGTGTAATATTGCATACGAGTAGAAGAATCGTCTTCTATTTGTGTCCAGTCTGTGTGGACTTCCTTGGACCTCCTTTAGCGGATGAAGGCCTTGCATGAATTTAGTAAGGCCTAGTTATTCTCGCTTACTTATGTTATTATTAATTTTAGTATTAATATTTATAATTAATAATACCTAATGAATCCGCCAAATACATTTACATCTTTGTTAACGAATCGTATCTAACGTGTAGGTACATTGTAACCATGGAATTTTGTAGACAAACATTAATTACGCTGTTGTATACACCCCTGCTTATTAGAAATAGGGATAGGTTTCAATAACACATTTTTTTTACTACACTATAGAGTTCTGATAAGCGCGGCAGTAGGATATTGATATTTAGTTTGTTTCCTGCTACTTCTTGCTGGTGTTAGTGGGATTATTCAAATTCAAATTATATTTTCTGAAGGATAGGTCGGTTATCGAGCCTACGAATAATCTGGTAAGCAATTGGCACGAAATGCGTTATCGGCCTTCTGTATATTGTTAGAGACTTAACGATAGAAGGCGTTTTCAAGTGGTCAACTTTCCCAGGACATTGTTTCAGCTTCCTACGATCAGCACAGAAGACTGCACACTGCACGGTTGACTCAGAGAAAAAACAAGTCGTTTATGAAATTGATGTTCTGGTTCTGTTATATGTAAAATCACCCTCGACATATGAGAAAAATCAAACGTAGGGCCATGTTTATAAAAAAAAGACGTTAAAAATTTATATTTATAAAAAAGGAATCGCAAAATGTGTCGGTTGGCGCATAACTCAACAACGCCTGGATCAATTTGTTTTTATCGTCAGGAGAATGTCCTTATGAAATAAAAAAATTGAAAAGTGGTAAGTAGGTATATTCCCTGTATTGGGGAATACCGAACCTTTCGTTTTTAGCGAGGTAGTTGGTTAGTTGGATTCAAAGTAAGGGGGTGCAAAAAGTCTAAATACCCACATACGAGTAATATTTTTTTGTAACAGCCGGTTATAACCGGTTGCATAAGTACCTATTTAATTATTTCATAGATGAGTTAAGCCTGATATCTAGACATTGGCTTAATAAATACCCAAACCGCAAAATGTAAGAAATGCGGTTTTACGAATCAGTTACCATTGTCTGTTTTTTGTACGCGAGATAAAACGTAATACCTACGTGACGATATTATTTTTTACGTCACCTTGCTATAAATTTTGTGTTTTCGCATAAATCAGCCAGAAATCAAATTGATTCATAAGTCAAATCGTCGGAACTGCTAATATCTGGTTAATATTTACATAAACGAAAAATGAGGTTTCCCCATTATATGTATGTACTTTTGCTTCGCAATAGACTTTGCCTTATTTTTTATATATGATATAGCTGCTCTCGTGCGGTTTCACAAGCTACTCGGCTCTTTTTAATTGTAGCGTGGTGTTTTATAGCCTATAGCACTCAGGAACATTGTAGGTATCTGTCAGTGAAAGCGGTTCCAAAGATTACCCCCTTCATACAAACTTACAAATTTTACCTCTTTATAATATTAGTATAGAATACACATGTGGATCCTCTATCATCGACAGGTGTGTCGATCTCATACGAGGTAAACCCAGCGAGGTGTTACCCATAAATTCACGTTACAACTAGAAAAAGCGTTTTAAAAAAAGCGAAAATTCGATCTGTGTTGAAGCTGATGCACTTGGCGTCATCAGCTTTACCCATTTTTACCAAATAGCCGACTTGTTGTTATGTAACTTTTAAAACAGTTAGTTAGATTTGCATTTTTTACTGTTTATAGTCATGGCACACTGCACATGCCATGCCCATGTGTAGTTGGTCAAACAACGGAGGATAAAATTGGGGAAATATTTTGCAATCAAATAATAATATGGAAGAAGTAAATAAAAAAAATCCGTAATAACAAATGCACAGTTTAATGAAGCAGTCAGGCAGTAAATAAGCCAATCTCGCAATCACGACTTACCTTTAAATTATAATAATAATGCATAATAAAACACGCATGTTTATAAGTTCATTCAACTCAGCACTCGACGAAATTACATGACAAACTAATAAAGCCCTGTTTCCGTACTTTTATTTCTTGTCATATCCGAAGATCCGTTCTTAGGAATTAACGTTCAGTCTTCACAAATATTTTTTATCTTCGACAAACCCGTTTTAATTTGTACGCATGACGTTCGGTAATTTGTATATAGCTTCGGACATTGTCTCGGAGGTGCCTAGTCGCTCTTGGACCGTGTCAATGTGCATATCAGTTCGTATTTTAAAATTTAAATTTAAACTCAGTCTAGTCAGTAGCATTCTTGTACTCAGTTAAATCAGTGTCACAGTGATCAATAATTAATTCAAAATGTGTTCGTTAAATAGTATTATTGTTGCAATTATTCTGATCAGCATGGCAATGGCAAAACAACTTAGAACACAAGATGCTATTGGTTTTCCTGAAGTGGAAGAGGATCAGAATTCTGTTAATAAAGACGTAAGTAGCTATTTTTTAGTAAGTAATAAAACCTTTTTAATCGTGTTATGTGAGGTGGGTACAAAAAGGTCGAATAATTTTCCTTGTTTTAAACATGTTTCTTTAATATTAGGTATATCCTCGAACAATTATTACGAAGTTAGTGTGATTTTTTGCTTATCGCTACGATTTTGTAACAAAAAACAACCTCAAGCATCGCGAATTTTAAATGATTATGTTTTGAAGTTAGATGAAACGAATGTATTTGATTGTTACGTGGGTATTTTGGGAATTGTTTGCTTCACACGTACAAAGAAATTTAAGTTTAGAATTACTCGCTGTTCGGGAAAAATGTCAAATCGAAAGCAATACGATATTAAAAATAAATAGTTTTTTTTTTATATTAGTATGAAAATCTTATACCGGACGCGTACTCTGAATCAAAGTAAATATCAAATGACCTTCCAATCGTGACCACGCTGAGGTCATGGGTCTCTGATCTCAATAATCACGTTTTCTTGTTTACTTACAACTTCGGAACTAGTACACTTCTTGTTTTTTAAAAGACAAGAATGGGTGCTTGAGAATAAGAAAAATCGATGAATGGTCTAGATACACAAATATCTAACTATGTAAGTAGTCTTCAAAAATTAAAACTTTCAAATAATTTTTTTCTGCAGGTTATTCTTTTATCGACGGTTTGTTTTTTGGCGGGTTTTAGAACACGTAAAGAAAAAAAAAATGATGAGAGAGTAGCTATGACTAATATTTTTTTTTCAAAAAATATATGTATGATTATCAATACATTATCAAATGTGCAATAATTGCTAATAATAAAAATTAACCATTTAGTTTCGCTCGCATAAAGTATATGTATACCATTTTTTATGAGTATTTATTATAGGTTACAAATATGTGATAAAAGATTCCTTGAATTACAATCGACCTTTTAAAACTGACTGAAATTTGGACATCTGCCTGTCTATACGTATTCTCATAAGGAATAGAAGGCTTGGTATTATACCAGACCACATACCTACGAACTAAGGCAAAACCTCATAAAAAATAAAATAGGGTACATACGTTTACCTCTTTTGCTCGTACCTACTGGGGATGATAAAATCGAAAAATGTAATTGGCAGCCCACAAAGGGTGCCTGTTTCTAATGCATGCGTGTCCGGGTTTTAAATTTGCTAAGCACCAATAACACATTTCCTAGTTTTTATTAATGCCTTCTAAGTTTATTAAGACGCCATCGATATAAGATGAAGGAAAAAATCGCGAGAAAACCTGAATTTATAATCTCTAATTTATTATATGTTTGAATTTTCCAAATCCGTCTTGAGTTACTTTGGTAAAAAATGCCGAAGACGACTTTGTTCGTGTGAGAAGAGGCTTTTGCTCAGCAGTGGGCACTTGACGGTTGTTTTTTCTATAAATGAGCTGTGATAAATGAGCAAACGGTTTACCTGATGGTAAGCAATCAGCGCCGCCTATGGACACCCGTAACAACGGAGTAGTAACGAGCGCGTTGCTGACCGTTTGGGGATTAGGGATTTAGAGATTTTGGGATTGGGGAGAGATTGGGGAGGGGAAGGATTGGGCCTCCAGTAACCTCACTCACACAATGAAACACAACGCTGTGGTTGTTTTCTGTGAGGCCTTGGTATCACTCCGGTCGAGCCAACCCATTCGTGCGCAAGCATGGCTTTTCCACGCTTATTATTGTTTGATTATGATTGTTTAACTAAAAGATCTCAAGAAATCCGACTGTTTTTGTAGTGATGTCTAGAGTTAAGGTATAATCCCTAATCGTTAGTTTTTTGTTGTGATCATCTCCATTGCTTGCGGCAAAATAGCGTAACAAACAAAAAACAAATGCCAAATCACGTTGGCTGGTATTTAGGAATTACACACATATAAATGTACCTCACATGGTAACATCATCAGCTTATAAGTGTCCGCTATTGAGCACAGGCCTCTTCTCACACGGAGAGGGATTAAGCATTAATAAGCTTTAAGTCCAGGTTTCCTCACGATGTTTTCCTTCACCGTACAACAGTGGTATCTAAATAACAATCATAGAAAGTAAATATACCTACCTTACTTGAAAAAGTCACATTGGCAATACGGTAGTTCCCAACTAGTACTCAAATTCAATATTTTTATCCAATGTCAAAAATGATAATTTTCAATGAAATTTGTATGAAAAACTGAGTTATGACGTCATCGTATTTTTGCGTCAAATAGCGTAATTATTTCTTAAAAATTAGCTAAAAAATATCTAAAATTTAGTGTATCAATCGATCGATGAATAAAAGTATAGATAGTTATTTTTCGATATTTCATCGTACTGAAACATCGAATTAATTTATTTTTGACCTAGGAAACTACCCAATTGTCATCTTGCGAACTAGCACCCTCATGCATGCACGAGGAGCAGGCAATGTTTAACTTACTTACTTTAACTTTAGGGTTATTTTTGAGAGCCCTACCTACATATTAAAATGTGTTTAAGTATAGTCACTTTCTTCTTGTCTCAATGGTTAGGAAAGTTTATGTGTCATTTCATTATACCTACCTACCCAAAATACTTTCTCTCATTACGATAACGAGACTTAATAGGTAGGTATGTAACTATATACATCACCATTACATAATTATGTATGTATTTGTTATCTCAGTCATTAAGGATATTTACTAAGTCCCTGATTAGGTGACCATTAGCTGGTTTGTTTACTAATTATTTATGTTCTCGTTTTGTTTGTTTGTTCCCTGCAGTGCGGCTCTTTCCTCGTCCTTTTGATCCACCAATAACTTAGTGACACTCTAAGAAATTAAAGTTAAGCCTAAAATCTTCATAATCGAAGTCGTTAAAATATATGAGCAAGATTCTGAAAACTTTGGAATGAACTTCTTTCGGCGGCGGTATTTTCAAACGTTAAAGAAACGAGGGTACTCATTATTAAAAGGCCAGCAACACGCCTGTGACTTCTGGTGTTGCAGGTGTCCATGGGCGGCGCTGATCACTTGTCATCAGGTGATACGCCTCGATTGTCTACTTTTCCACAAAAAATTAAAATGCATAAAAATGCAACCATAGCGTTGTGTTTCGCTGTGTGAGTTAGGTTACCGGAGGCCCAATCCCTCGCCTCCCCCAATCCCTCCTCAATCCCTAAATTTCCAAATCCCTAATGCCTAAAAGGTCGGCAACGCACTCGTAACTCTTCCGTTGCGAGTGTCCATGGGCGGCGCTGATTGCTTACCATCAGGTAATCTGTCTGCTCGTTTGCCGACATGTTACATAAAAAAATGCGTAGTTTATCATCTGGCAAACAATAACTCACGTTTTGTTTACAAATGCTTTGTCTTTATCCTTAATGCTTCTTCATAAAAGTGAATAGTTACATAGAAATATATGTTTATCTGCAGGGGAAGGCCGGTTTCTTATTAAGATAACACATTCGTAGTTAGAGGCCAACTGATTCATCTGTCAGAAAAGACGTGGGTACCCACATCTCAGTTGCATACATTTGTCACAAGATACAGATATAAATTCATATTATGAAATAATGTTGACTATTCTATAGAACTATAAAAATAGTGTACTCTGTTTTAGTTCTTATTATTTTCGGGTGGAGACAAATGACTTCTCCTGCCCTTGATCTGGCGAAAGGAAGTGCCAGAGTGCCTGACTAAAATCCACCCCGTTTCTTCACCTCCTCTGGGCTACAGGACATTGGGTACATTATTGTTCTTCTACCCGCAACCCTTGCTACATATTGGCCCTATTGAGCCACGTCTGTGGTGAAACACGCCGTAAGCTCGATTCTGGTTCTGTTCGGGAGACCATTGCTCTCCCGACCGACGATCCGTGCTTACGGTGATTGAAGTTCGTTCGTCCCGCGATTTCCGACTGAATGGGAGCATGAGGATGATAACGTTCCACACGCGCTCAGCCAATGACATTATTAGTAAAATGGTATAACATTCGATTTTCAAAAACGGCACACTTATGCACACATGAATAAATTGTATGATACACGTTAAAGTGAGATGGTATGATTCAATAATCGCGAGTGAAAAAGAGACATATATGAAAAAGTGTGGCTAGTTAGCCATATTTTAATGTATCACTTGCTGACCGGTTGTAACCTTTCTAAAACTTTTTACTTATAATATCATTGCGCTCAGTTTTCTTTGCGAGGAGGACTGTTTCGGAAAAGGAGGGTATAAATACTTGCAATCTACAATAAAAACAATATTACAAAATCAATTATCTTCACGTTTTAATAAAAACAAGTTTCATTAAGCTGTGGGTTTCCCATTTTAGTTTAATGAAGGAGTTTACATCATTTATTTTTATCAGCTGTGTCATTCATCGTACAGCAGGTTTCATTTATGTTAATGCATGGATGCAGTCGTTCAATGTATCCACTACTTAATAGACCGGTAGCAATATAATTATCTGATATGGATTCTTCTTTTTTTCATCAACATTATAAAGGAAAAAACAATAAAAGACAAAGGTATATTACCTAGGTACTGCATATTCCTTTTCGTCCCTACAGTCTTTTTTTTGGAGTAAGTAAGGATAATCATCCATTAAATCCTCTTAGCCTGGGGTGACGAAAGAGTAGAGAAGGAGTGTCAGACTCTTCCTGCCTAAATACCATTCCATTCCTTCTCCTGCTCGTACATTATAACGCTTACATCTATGTACTTCTCTGATATTCTCACTGTCATACTGTAAAAACGTGTTATGTTTATTTCAATTTGAATTAAATTGTCAATGTTAATAAACAATCTTACATTCTCCACTAACCACTGATACTTCACACTCACTTCTTCTATTTTCTTATTTCTGGCGTTAATTTTTAGGCATTACAAGCTTGAAGTTAAATACAAAATAACCATCATACACCACCTTACTCATATCTACGACGAATCATACCAATCATCATAGCCAACTGACGAAACTCAAGACCTTTTGCTAAAGGGTCGGCTTTTGAAGAATCATTATTAATCAAGGTTATTGACACATTACCCTCGCTTGGCTTCAACTAATGATCTCCTGCTCCATCTACAGGGTAGATTCGTAAACTTCCCCATAGTAGTAAGTTCAGATACCAACATTTTATATGCATGAAGTTTTTTTGTGACAGACTATTCTATCTTTCTCTTTTTTTTATTGATGTTGAAGAAAATGTTAACGTCTTAAATTTTGCCTGCGTGTCTGTCTGTAAAACGAATGCATGAATTTAAATATGGTTTTCATCCAAGTAATACTCAACGATGTTTAACTTATTTGGGCTTCTTCTTTTTTGTCACTGATCGTGTGGCTAGCGAAGAACCTAGTTGAAATAAATGATTAAAATAAAATGTTTTTCATTTCCAGAACCGGCAGCCTGTTTACATTCCATCGATGTGTCCTGATAGCGAACTGTACTACCCAGGAGACCAGAAAGACGACTGGATTTGCGATTGCAGACCAGGTGAGACTCAAATAACCTTCTACAATAATTTGTTAAATTTATCTCTCTTAATTAGAGTCAAGTCTTCACCATATTTGTCTGAATGTCTCCTAGAACCCAGTGGGAACCTCATTTTTGATATAAGTATGCGAGGGATGTTCGTATGAAAAAGAAATCAACAGCTTAAGATGCTCCATAGCCGGTCCAAACTCCTACTGACTATAGTAATTTTAATTAGAAAAGTCCAGTAATGCCTTTGTTATACAAGAAAATCCAACCCCGCAAACGTCATCGTACACATCAACCAATTTTTCAGCCTACCACAATCTTTAAGAAATTGGTACACAAATCTTAAGTAAACTGTAACTTAAGCTTCTCATGCATGAAAGTGTGGGTTCGAAATCTGGCAAGTACAAATGTGACTTTTTCCAAGTTATATGTACTTTCTATGATTTTTTAGACATCTGACATACGGTGAAGGTAAACATCGTGAGGAAACCTGGACTTATAATTTCTAATTGTAAGTTTGAAGTCGCCAACCCGCATTGAGCAAGCGTGGTGATTAATGCTCTAACCTTCACCGAATGAGAACAGGCCTTTGCTCAGCAGTGGGCGCTTATAGGCTGATGATGATGATGATGACACAAAAACTAACCAAATTTTTATATTTATTTTCAGCATTCTTATATCACCCCAAATCGGACACTTGTTGGCCAGCTTACAGAAAAGGCCCGTGCCAGGATGGAGAGTACCTCGTGCTAAAACCAGAGTCGGCCATACCCGTGTGTGAGAAGAACCCTTGCGCTGTTGATACTTATGTTCCGTACAATGGAAGGTGTGAGCAGCTGGCCACCATAGCTCCCTGCAGACACATGTGGCCCATCCCAGCCGCGCTCTCTGTCAATGCCACCAACTTAGCTGTTACCTGCGAGAGGCTCAACCTAGAGTCCAGGTTCGGGGAAGACGCCAGCCCCATGGTCCTTGTGCCATGCCCGCCAGGCTGCAAAAGAAGTATTAACGGCAAATGTACTCCTGTAGTAGGATAATTAAGTTTATTAATTATTTTTAATATCATCTATTTATGATTGTTACCTTAAATTTTATGACTATAAATAGCTTTTGTACCTATTTGTGTGTGTTTATTTCCTTGCATAAATCTGTCAGCTACAACAATTTGAGAATAGCTACTTTTATAATCATACACGCTAAATTTCATATTGATGCGAATATAATTTTTAATGTCTGCGCGTGTAATACATGCATGCTTAAGTACTTGCAACTTACACATGCGTGCTCAACTGAAACAAAAATAGTAGATGTTTATGTGTGTTATAAAAAACTGTAATCAATATTCACTTTGTTAATTAAGCAACAAATCCCCTAAAGTTGTAGCATGGTAATATCCGAGCAACCTTGCACGGTATGGCACGACGCCCGCCGCCGCCGCCAGCTATGGCAACGGGCGGGCGTCCCTCGTGTAGTCATGGCGACTCTGCCGTCAATGTGCCACACCATGTCTCTGTCATCGGCGTTTATTTACCAATTACCACAATGGACATCGACGTGGCTGTCTGCTCGCACGAGTATCGACAACCCTCGCGATAAAATCGGCGCCCAAATTATTATATTCGAGCTCCAAATGACACCGTGTTTCATAGCCACGAGTTCGTTGTAGCAGTGAGCGTTCGGAAGGTTAAGGTTGATTGACGGCTCGGTGGAAAGTTTGAAACATTTCCCAAGTGAAAAGTGCACCTTTCTAGAAAGTATACCTCGAAGGAACATGCAGCTGAAATGTGGTAAGTGTTATAATGCCCTAGTTATTAATGCGAAAGTGCATGCAAATCGTTAGAAATATACTCTAGCTGAGTAACGTCAACTGTAAAATTCTAGAATTTTTATTGTACGTTTAAAGAGAGTTGAAGCAATAAAGCTGGTTCTTAAGTAGTGTGCGGTCGGTGGCGAGTGCGACGGCTGATCGTTTAATTTCCATATAATCGCAAGCGTAGCCGAGCTTGCTCCTATCGCGATTGATCGCTGACCCATATTCCTGACGGCTGGCCACAGTGGCCACTGACCACCACAACATACCACTTACTCTGATTAACCGAAGAAAATGACCTTCGCCGATTTTTGTTGTGGCAGTCGAGCGGAATGTTTCCTCTGAATCTTGATTTGGCAGGTTACTTTGTAAGGCGAAGGAAATGGCGATAGGAAATATTGTTTGTTGTACCGTGACATGGTTAATTTAGAAAACGAATACTAAAGCTAGACTTATTTACGGTTATTTAATAATTCAAAAAGTAGTATTTCGCAGTAAGTGGCAGCTAAGTTGTTCCAGGTAGACGTTGTTAGGTACATTCGTGTGAAACTAATGCTTACTCTAACACTATGTAAGGTACCAAGTACGTGTAAGGAACACGAGTGCATGACTACTATGCCGCCTTCATAGGGTAAAAGAATGCAAACTTAAATGTTTAAGTTTACAATTTACATAATTAATCGTTCGCGATTCAGTTTTAAATACTTAATTATACATTTTCGTGAAATAATTGCATAAATTCTAGGTTCTGTAATGTTTATGTGATTTTTATTAAAACCAGGCATTTTAATCGTTTTGCTTGGAAAAGTATACAGACTTATTGGTATTATATTATTTACATAGAACTGGTGATTCCTTTTAGGCGTTTCTCGCAGCATTTCTTTTAGAATTTACGTTTTTATTTTCGCAGAATTCGTGGGTAAGAATCAAAAATTATCCACCACTTTCTCTCGAGGCGAAGTGAAGGTTTTTCACAAAATGGTGGATGTATGTATATAAGGTTTTATGAAACAACGACACTAATTGCCCGATAGCATGTTAGTGTAAATCGTAGGCGTACCTACATGATGTATTACCTACTTGGTGCAGAGGCCCGACTACCCACACGTAGCACAGACGCGTCAAGAGCTTGACACTGCACACACGGAGCGAAAAGTAAATATCGTGAGGATAAACCAGGTCGACATACGGCCTACTTCCCTATATATTACACTCTTGATAATATATTGAAAGAATTACGTATACACTGATTTATTTGTTCTCCCATACGCATTATGAATCAACTGCTTTGTTCGCGACATTGACAGAAAAGTGGCATTCCGAAACGAATCTATACTTTGGAAAGAGCATCTAACTTCAGTGGCGGACGACTGATGGATTTTTTGTCACTTAAAAGCTGTCTTTATGTTGTTAATGTGAAAAGCTTTTACTTCATTCATGTAGCCTTTGAATTTATGGTTCAGTTTTTTAATTAAATGAAAAAGAATCGATTTTTGTTTTCGATTTAGTGTTTTTTGTTATTTTGGTTGGAGTCTACAGATATTTAATGAAAGTTTAGAGACGGGCAAAAGAAAAAGTAACAAAATAACTTTTAAATATACCACACAATTTAATTTAATTTCAAAATAGTACCTAATGCGAATTAGTTAAACGTGTGAGTAGCATTGATAAATTATATGCAAACGAACCACTTCTAGTAAGTATCTCTCAGAATATAATGATACGAAGAATTATTATCTAATTGAACTAACCTTATACCACTCTGTTTACACAATATCTTTCGAGCAAAAATAATTTCCCCAGTATACTGCAACTATCTACTACGTTCAGATGTACCTAACGACTGGAAAAACCTTCATAGCTTGAGTTATCACTTGAAAATGATATTATTCATTGCTAGAAAGCACGTCACGACGCAAATAGGTTCATAGCTAAGTTAGGCCGAGCTTAAAATGAAATTGTAGGCATTGTTTAATTATACCGAATTTTTACAACACGATTGACCCTTTTCTGCTATTGAGGTCATTGGGTCAAAAGATCTGAGGAAACTACGGAAAAGCACGAGATTGACGTTAAATAAGTCCTTGAAGGGTTGCGTGAGAGAGTGGAAGTAACTGCGTGCAATTTAAGCGTGAACTAGCTATGTTTTTGGTCGACAAAATACCTAATTCATACCAACATTTATACTGCTTGTAAGGTAAATTATTTATACACACTACCTACAAAGTACGAAAACAATTAGTTTTACGATAAGGGGTTAAGGAATATTTGTCGTTAGATATACATTTCCTGTTTGCAGTCAACTAATGGGTTGCGCAATCAAGCAATAATATGTACCAACTAATTGGGTTGTTAAGTATAAGTTGTTTGCTCGTCGATTAACGAAGAAACAATCAGAAAATTCAATTCAATATGCTTTTCACAAAGCACTACAAATTCGAAAATTGTCCTTTACAACGAAGAAATTTTTGTTATTAGTACCTAAGCACTAAACTCTTCAATGTCTGCAACTAACCGGATAAATCCTTGTTTCTCTTCCTTTATATTATAATCCTTTGCTTTACGCACAAATGCTCATGATTTTATTAATGACTTAAATTATATAAGTATATGAATAATGGCATAAGATGTTTTTATGTAAACAATTCCATCTTATCAAATGTCCTTATTTTTACTCAGCAGATGCAACTGTTATCTAGAGGAAAAATGTATCTCTCTTTATAACTTTCTCCAATTCAGACGTTATACATTTAAATAAATTCGTTGTATTTATTATTAAAAGTGTGTTTGATGTACTGTGTGATTAAGTGTGGGAGAGTCATGGTTCGGCACGAATGGGTCGGCTCGACCGGAGTGATACCACGGCCTCACAGAAAACCGGCGTGAAGCACAATTTTGTGTTTCGTGAGTGAGGTTAACGGAGGCCCAATGCTTCCCCCCTTTCCCCATCTTCAATCCATTCACTTATTCTTTAACCCCTAATAACCCACAAGCTAACGAACGCACATTTAGTAACTCCTTTGGTACAACGACTGTCCATGGGTGGCGCTGATTGCTTACCATCAGGTAAACCACCTGGTCATTTGCCGACCTATGACATGAAAAAATTATGATAGAGACATATAACTATGCGTTTATTACTATGTAGTAAGGATTCTTAGTATACCTATCTATACTAATGTTATAAAGAGGTATTTTTTTTAAGTTTGTAAGTTTGTATGTAGGTGGTAATCTTTGGAACCACTGGTCGGTTTCCCAAAATTCTTTCACTTATTGATAGCTACAATGTTCCCGAGTGCTATACCTAGCTTATAAAACATCAGGCTACAATATCTAGGAGAAGAGCAGCGGGTGAAACCGCGGGACAGTAGCTATTACAATTTATATTTGACGGGGCATCCAGGCGCTGAGGCTCCATAATGGCGTAGATTCCAGAAATAAAACGTAATTTACGATGATCAGGCTTTTATTATTTGCCAGCAATTACAATTCTTGAATAATCACGATAATCGAGATGCAAACGGATACACTTTGGTTGCGCGGCGAATTCGACACGGGGCTGACTAACTCGACAGTTTTGCCGTCGCAATCTGAAAAATGAATCTTCACGTTTTTTTGATTTTCCATCCACGGCAGGACGTCAATCTCGTAAGGTTCGCAGCATTCATTTTTTGTTTTCCACAGTACCAACATGAGGTTACAAATTGACAGTTAGTCTATGGCCACAATATGGCCCAACCAGCCAGCCACGTATCGACTACGCCCAAGTTCGGATACTTGACGCAACCAATAAAAGAAAAAGAAAAGATACTGCCTATGGTTTGATTTTTAAACGAAAACCTATGTTGACAGATTACAACATAAGTTCTACAACTAGCCGATCCGGCCAAGTGTGGCGCTACTGTCGCGTGCTCCGACACGGCCATCTTGACGTTTCACACGTCCTCGTGTGGGGTATCTGAAAAGAAAACTCAAAGCAGTAGCACAACTCTTGCTCGGTCAGCCTGACTAAAGTAAGGGTTAGCTTGAAAAACAAAAATGCAAGAAAGTGCAATATTTACAAAGGTGTACAGGAAAAGTAATCATAACTGCGTCTAGCATTAAATTACGATACAAACTATTCCAATTTGCTAAGCGTTTACAGGGAGAAACAAGAATTCTAGTGTTTACAAATGTTTGCATGGCTGGCTATGAAACAGTAACCAAGCAACACATAATTTCAAAAATACTCTCGTGAGCGTCTGATAGTATTCTTCTAGACAACCCCGACTGGCGTCTGATGGAATACATCAAGACAGCTGCACCTTA